CTCTATCTCAAGTAGCGTCCTCTTTATACATATTTTTTATACCTGAGAATAAAAAAATCCTGCCCTCCCCTGCAATCCTCCTACTCAGATATATAATAATTAGACTGGTTTCACTTTTCATTACTAAGCCATCTGTTAAAGTTAGGAACAAACAAAGCCTAATCTTAGACAACAGTACAGTGTTGTCAAGCTTTCCCCTCAGTGTACTTGAAGGTCTGTGACAACATCAGACTCGTCAGCGAGACCCCAGCTCAGAGAGAACAGGCGCCCTCACTTCCAGCGGGGAAACCCTGACGTCCGCTGGAAGTGAGAGCGATCCCACTGACGAGTTCTCCACCGTGACAGAGTTGCGCATCTAGACCTGAAGCGTTTAGCTATGTGTACTACACCATGACAGTCTTCAGTGTAAAATCGGCAAATATACCACTTCTGCTTTCTCTGCATAACTTCTGGTTCTCAAAAGTCAAGGATTCCTATTTTTCCCACAGTTTTATATTGTATAAAGCCATAAAAACAATGTTACAAATCTACAGACTGAGATACACACGTCCTCAAAATCTGGCCTAGCCTTCCGCTGCTAAAACCATCACTCCTCTGCCTTTTGCAGAGTATGAGAAATGAGAGAACCAATGGCCAACAGCGGAGAGGTTTTAATTTCCTCCCCCTCCATATGAGCATAATCTTAGACCTAACACCCTTCTCCATTGCCTACTCATAAAAAGCGATAATATCGTGAAGGACAGGGATAACTTTGCATTCATACTTGAGAATTCATTTATGTATAAAATAGCGATTTTGTAGTCAGAGATGGTTAAATCTAAGAACACAGGATCCAATTTTCAGAGGCACTGAATATTTGCATCTTCTGTTGAAATCAATAGGAACTGTAGGAGTTCAGCACCTTTGATCAATAGGACCAGTGATTTGCAAGTCCAAATTAGATGCAGATAAAAGGGTAAGATATCATGGAAGAAAAATCCTACTGAATAATGGGCTAAAAATAACTGACTAGATGAACAGTCACATCATCAAAACATTGTATTATATGTAAAGAAAACAGTGTGGTAATGAAGAACTACAGAAAAAATGTTTACTTCTTATTTTAACTCTTACATTTGCCTTATGTACTCTTTTTAAATTTCTGATTGAATTTCTTTTATACTTGGCGATGGATTCTAAGGCTTTTATTACAATGAGAATAAAAAAAGAGACCATTTAGCGGTACCACTCCAGAATGGTAAACTATTTCATACTGCTTATAGCAGCACAGACCAATAAATGAGCACAGACACAACTATCGACTGAACTGAATCAAACAGATATGGTCATTTTTCTCATGTGATAATTAGGAATCTATGTTACGGCCATTAGACCCACCTCACGCCACAGAGAGAAATATGCATCAACACAAAGCCAGGAATTTATCTATTGCTGTTTTACAGTCAAAACCAGAAAACTTTGACTGCAACTGTATTTCTAGAATCTTCTGTCAAGTACAATGAGATATTTTTTTTCCATTTGAGCATTCATTTGCACATTTGCCTAAACCTTTAAAACATGAACAGCTTACACATCCTCCAGACAGAGCGAGTGCTAGGAGGCAGATTGTGCCCACTTCACATTGCTGTCGTAAGGACGGATGTCTCGTTTTTCCTAGTCAGTCTTTCACTCCATTGGCAATTTCACTCTGCCTTAATCTGATACTCTGCTCACCACCCAAAAGCTTGGCCAGCCTCTCAAGAGCGGCCGGGGGGCTGCCGCAGCGCCTTCTGAAGCACCCATGAAATGCATTAACATCACCTTTTCTGTTGGCTGTTACATTTGTTCATTTGTCTTACTGCCTTCTTGGTAGACAAACGGAAGGAATTGTGCTCCAGATGGGCACGAAGGCATTATTGTTGCCAACATATAAGAAAGCATAGAAGAAAAAAAATGCCTTTATTCAAGAGAAAAATAATTCAGTGCATTTACAGTGAGGCGACTAAACACCCTCTTCATGAAATGAGCGCTTAATGTAGTAACTACTATGACTTTACAACCTATTCATAGAAATTACTCCTGTTAAAGTGAAAATATGTTTTACTTGCTAAACTAAATACTGTGACTAAAGATTTTCAATAAATCAGCTTTTATAGAACCATTTACAGGATTCAGTAATTTCGTTATTGTCCATATAATACTCAAATTTATTTCAGCAAGAAGGACCAAATAATAAACACGCTGAATTATAGGGCAAAAATGGGAACACAGAGAAAAATATATATTATTATCGTTTTTTTTAACTGACTAAGAGTTCAAAAGATAGAAAATGCAGAAGAAATATGTGTTCTCAGTTAAAGCTTCTGTATTGAGTCTTATTGATAATAAGGAAAGACTGAAAAATAAAAGAAGGAAAACTTGATAATTTATCTTTTGAGGAAAAAGAAACCAGTGACAGTTTACACCAAAATGGCACAGGTCTGGGTTGGCTCCTTATAAATATTAGAGACACTTGCAAATTTTTCATCTGGAACAAGCCTTGAATTTCCAAGGCTTTGGGCCTGTTCCGATCTGAGGCTTAGATTTGGGGCCTTTTTATTAATTTTTATTCTTTTAACAGTAATATGTAGCTCTTGCATCTAACCGCAGTAAAAGCTATTTGAGAAAGAAGCACACTTAAGCTATTAGATATGCATAAGAAAAAGCTTAGATGTTGTATTTTGACCTACGCTCATTTGGCCTGAAATCTCAGCTCGCTGTAGGCTACTGCAGACTATGCCATAAAACATACGATGGAAATAATTCCGCCTTTACAAGCTCTCCCTTATCCTTCCAGTAACAACCACTGAGTTGATCACAGAGAGGTTTGATCCTGAAAGTTATATGAATTTTGTTTTACAATCTAGGCCCAAGTCTATAGTCCTCGCTCACGTTTAACTCCCTTTGACTTTAAGGAAACCTTCCTGGAGCAAGGACTGAGGGACCTGACACAATGCAGATCACAGTTAGTGAAAAGAAAATACTTGCTGGACTGTATTTTCACTGCAGGGCGTTGTATGCAGTCTGATTTTGTATAGTCACCTACCGTTATTTGAAACTTGCACATGAAAAGATATGCAAGTATGAAACCCTAAGAATAACTGAACTTTGAAAATAGTTCATATGTTATGATCCATGCTTAACAAAAGGCAAAAGTATTAAGGTACCTGACTCAGAAGAACAGACCATGAACATATTTAAATATTTAACTAACCAGAAATAGGCAGCATAGGTATTAACTTGGAGTAAGCTAACTAATATTTGAATTTACAAGAAAAAACTTTTGCAATTGAAAAACTTCTGGGGCAAACAAAAGGAAGTAAATGCACTTTGAAAATTTTTCTAAATTAGTATTTCTGGTTCAGCAATTTATATTGTGCTATAGAGAACGTCAGTAGAAACATATATATGTAATATAAAACATAAAGGTACATTAATTTTACCTAGTACTGCCTAACTAATACTTAATGGATAGAAAACAGGTGTTACAGCTTTGTGGTGCTGTGTTAAGAGAAATACAGACATGCCTACAGGGAATTCACATAGGGCTTTTTCATTCACGGTGGCGCGGAGCTCCTACAGCGTTCTCAGGGGGGTGATGCGCAGCGCTGGACCTCTGCGACGTTAAACAACTTTTCCCGGTGGCAGACTGAGATCCAGGCAGCGATGCAGCAGGCAGTGTTTCATCCAGATAGAACTGAGATGGTGTGGGTGGGGTTTATAGGTAGCAAACGGATGAGGCTGCAGAAATTATACAGCCAGTCCTTAACTGAGGGCATATGCTCACCAGCTGTTATGTAAATCTGCAATTAATGTAGCTTACTAGATCCTCAGGTGCTTTCAAATAATCATACACCAGAAATGATGAAGTCTGCTTTCCCATCTGCATTAGATCAGGGTGTCAGAAAAAATCCCTCCTGATGAACATCTCACTGATAGTAACTAGACCTTTGTCACCATGGGACCAAAAACACAGCAAAAACCGAAACGACTGGAACTTTCTGTGGGACTTGGTTGAGAAACCCAAAGCCAGCATAAAGATGTTTATTCAGGGAATACAGAATAAGCAAAAATTCATTAGACTTCCATGTGTTTACAGCCACATTCTAAGCTTCAGCATAATTAACATCGTATAATACTTACATTTCAGACTGTAAAATCAACATGGAAATTAATGTTCAGCCAAAGCGTCATATAGTAAGTCAAAAAGATTTGCTCTCTCATGTATGTTTTTAATCACACTGACTCCAAGCGTGACTTCAGTATTTATCTTCCAAATAAAAGGAAGGAGTTTCCAGCGACTTTGATAAATCCTATCAATCTATTGTGATAACAAAATTGCAAACTTAGTTACTTACCAAAAAGGAGTTTGAAATTAAGTAAGTGCACTTCAATCTATGTAACATTTTTCTGAAACATAAATTCAATACAGGGACAGCAAAATATGTCTTAGAAAATATGGTATAAAGTGCTACATATTTTTAAAGCTAGCTACAAGTCTAACCAATGATGTAAGAACTACGGGGAAAATATCAAAGTTTCAGATCTTGATCAGATCAAAGAAATGAAAGAAAGGCAGCAAGGCAAAAATGCAACAGAAAGTTACCAATATCTTTTAAGAATTATTATTTAAGAGCAACAATGTTGTAAGTGTTAATATGAAAACCAAACCTTTAATTCAAGAAAAATATCACAGCAATTAAAATCAGTAGGAGTCCTCTGCTAGTGCAAACATGTCATCTTGAATAATATTTCTTTCCCTATCAGGCAGTATTGAGGTTAACAGAAAAGAAAGTTAATGAGAATGCCATGTCGTGTACAACCTCTGGCCAATCTAGTATTTTGCTTGCCAGAATTTACAGAGCACCCAACGGCAAACATTATTAGTAAAACACAGTATTTATACTAGCGCAAAAGCAAGCGTGATAACAGAACAGAAAAGGTAAAGAATAATTCAGCATAGAAAAAAACCAGAGGCTTACCGATAACATAGGCTAGCAACAACGCCAGCGTAACTGTAATAGCAGTGGCGCTCAAAGCAGTGCACTTCCAGTTGCAACACCTGTAAGGTTTGTTAAAAGTGAAGGCAGGTCTAGAAAAGGTACTTCTAGGAAGAGGCCTAGGAGGTGGAGAGTAAACAGTATTGGAGGTTAAAGGATAGTTCTGACTGGCTGCACTGAAGATAGCTGAAGACCCAGATCCATGTTTAAATAGGAAATGCCTACAAAGAGAAGACAAAGAACCATGTTGTAAACACCAGTTTGTGCTTGAAAAAGTGAAAGGAACTGCATAAGCATTGTAGCATGACAAACACCGCATGTAGCATGACAAACACCGCCCGCCAAACGATCCCCGAGCCGGTCCGAATACGAGCAGGGACGAGGGGCGCCGGCAGGCAGGGGGC